TTCTGAAATTTTAAAAATGACTTGTGAAAATTTGATTAATAAAATAAAATGTTCATACTCATTTTTACCATAATAGTAGCATCCTCCCTCAAGCACGATTCATATACTGCAATAACTTAGTGTAGCTGAGTTCAAAACAATGTGACCCTTCATAGTTTATCATACCAATGATCTCCTTTAAAAAATAATTTGAATCTCACTGTATGTTGTTAAAATTTCAGGTCATGGCAAGTGCGACTGTGGTAGGTGTAAATGTGATGCAGGATGGTCAGGGGAAGCTTGCCAGTACCCAACCACGTGTGACTTGACCAAGAAACAAAGTAACCAAATGTGCAAGAATTCCCAAGACACCATCTGCTCTAATGCAGGTAAGACTTCTATCTTTATAAGGATATGGAAAGTGTAACTAATTGCCTTCCTGTCCAACTTCCTCTTTTGTCATGAGATCAAAAGGACTAATGATGCCCAATTTCCATTACTACACAGTTTGATCAACTATTCCCAGAAGAGTCTGGAACAAAAGGGAAAACATGCAGAACAGAATTACAAATTCTCATGAAATCAAGGCTTTCTGGAGCTACGAGCATGGATAAACCATGCAAACTATTGTCCTGTGATAATCTTTAAGTTTTGAACTAAAAAATTCAGCTCCAGCCTTATGAAAATTGAACAATAGTTTAGCTTCACTAATAAATAAGTAATGCCTTGAGCATTACCATCTCTCTCTCTCTCTCTCTCTTTTAAGATCATTTCATTGGGGGCTCTTACAGCTCTTATAACAATCCCGACATTGATTGCATCAACCATATTTGTATAAATGTTGCCATCATTATTTTCTAAACATTTACTTACTATTTGAGATCTTAGTATCAGCTCCTCTGTTTTTACTCCCTCCCCTCCTCTCATCCTCATGACCCCTTGATCAATGATTATTATTTTCACAGCTTACAAGGACCACTATCTCACTTTCCTCACAATTTCTATTGTTCCTCCACCTAGAGGGGATGTGGTTATGTGTTGATTATTGTAATTGGCTCCCCCTTCCTCCCCACTATCCCTACCTTTTCCCCACCCTCCTGGTATTGCTACTCCCATTTCTGTTCCTGAAGTGTTTATCTGACCTGGATTCCATAAAGTTCTTATCTGTACCAGTGCACATACTCCGTGTAACCTGAAGTGAAAGGCAAGACTAGGGTCATGATAGTGGCGGGTGAGGAAGCCAAGGAATCAAAGGAATGTTGTGATTTTTCATCAGAGCTACAC